TCATGTTAATTTTATGTAAAATAACAGAAAGAAAAATGTACACATGCCTTTGATTGGTTAACCTTGAAGTAAAAGCCAACTGTGATAACTAGATAGACCTATTAATTGAACTTTGCTATAAGCAAGAATTTAGCTTCAAATAAGTCAAATAGTCAATAAAAAATATAATTCGATAGATTATCTCGATAAAATATTGTACAGTTATTTCGGCTTATTCAGTTGCATAAAATAAAATACTTTTTTTTCAACGCACTCTGATTACAATCGTGAAGCTTACCAAAGTTTCTTATTAACATCGTGAAGGATACGTAATATGATTATGTAAAACTATAATGTTTTTAGAACTTGTATTACATTTTTTACTGTGTTCTGAAAATGTTTAATAATTTTTCAAAACAAAACATTGAATGACAAAAACTTAAAACTTCATTCAGAGCATTTTAAAATCACGTGTATCAACTGTCAACATAATTGCATATTTATTTACTAATAAATAATATTGTCGGCTATATCTCATTTCAAATCGTAGAATTATTTGATGCATATTCGCTAATAACAGTTTCGATCTATTCATTGAATTTCGATATTTCGATTTTATTCATGCATTAAAATGAATGAAAAAAAAATGAGCGCGCGAATTCTATCGTAGGTGTCATAAGTCCCGGTATCATCGCCTTCTATTTCTTGAATGTCAAAAGAGAAGGGCAAAATTCAGTTGGCAAAAATTAAATTTGCTGTTTCTATCGATAGTTTTATTTTCCAATAATCTTTTTACGATGAAAGACATTCGAAATCTCGTCATGATTTATTGAAACAATCAACTACCGAAATGAGGTATATTTCAGAAAGTACATATCAACTTCCAAATAGCTTTCAAAATTGCGCATCAGATCGAAAATACATGTAAGACCTTAGTTTATTGAAATAAGAATTTTCTAGTCTCAATGACGACAGAAAAAAAGTATCACGACAAGACAATCTCATTGTATGCGACGACAACAAAGGCTTAGTGGCTGAGAACTCTAAATAGATGTGCTTTTATTTCAAAGTTAAGCAACCAAATTCATTTTTGTACACTATTTTAAGAGGCCAGCTGGCGTTAAACAGTAGAAATTTAAGTTTACTTTATTGAATCATGAACATTTATCAACTTGAAGTTCTTGGTAAAAGTTTTCATTTTTTTACAAGTCCTAAAAACTCAATTAGATGCACTAGAAAGTCACCTTAACCATAATACCTTATTTTTAGAAAAAAAAAAGTGGTTTACCGCGCTTTTATAAATGTTAGAGCAAACGAAAATCATTGTTCAAAGCTCATTTTCTTCCCTTAGATTAGTATTCTAGATTTACCGAAGGATTTTTCGAAATAACCAACGTTACTATTTTTTATAGGAACTTTTTAAGATTTATCCGAAAAGAATTTAGAAAGAAATTCGTATAAATTCCTACAAAAATGATAAAATTGACTACTATGAAAAATTCCTTATTTAATCTGAAGTATTGATCTGAAGAAAGAAAATGAGATTTTCAAAAATGATTTTTGTTCACTTCAGAAAAGCGTGGTAAATCAAATGTTTTCAAAAAGTAAGTATTACGACTAACGGGACTTACTAGGACCCTTACGTGTGATTTTGGACTTTACAGTTAAACTATAGGTAACTATAGTTATTAGGTACTTTTAGCTCAAATATTTTATAGTACAACGTTTCTATCGCGATCACTTGAATATTGATGAAATTAGTAACGAAATTAGGAGATGAAGCGAAAAAAAATTATGAAATTTTTCTTTTTATCGACGTTACTTTACTTTTCATATAATACCCTACTATAGCTTATTCAATCTGTGCACACGCATAATTCAATCAATTAAAGTCTTGTACAGAGCTAAGTTCTGCCGTGGGGACAAGAGGCTGCAGACGCTTGATCGAGTTACTCGACGTACTGCCTAAAAGCTCGTCCATAGCGTTTGCCTATTTTCTCTCTCTCTCTCTCTCTCTCTCTCTCTCTTGTCGACGCGACTACAACGGTGCCACTATATGCAAGATGCGTGCAATTCGTTTAGTTGCGCGGATGCATAGTCAAAGTCCTCTGTCTCTCGCCGTTCGATCCACTGGCTCTTTTCGACGAGCTCCACCCTCTCTGACCTCCTAACCTCTCTCGCAGAGAGCGTTTGCGTCCCTTTGACGCCAATGGGCCAATTACCTCGGAAAATAGATGGACCGACTGATAGATAAATCTGACGAGGACCAAGGCCTGTACTCTCCGTAATGGAACGGGATAATAGCAGCAACTGTCTACAACTCTTCTCTTATGGGCTACAGCTTTCTGTACCTATATACGCTGAATAATTCCGTCGCTTTCAAATGGAATCCGATGGCCGATCGACTGTCAAGTCTTATATGGTTTTGCTTTATGCGACGACCGCGGCGCAATTCAATGGCACGAAACGCATTTCGAAGCGCTGCCGCTTTGACTGCCGTCCGTGGCCATTCCAAAGGGGATGATGATTTGTCAAATTCTACCTATCTAACTATGTATACTTTGATCTAATTGCGATTGTGCTCTTGACGTTTCAATGTGATCGACGTTTGCCTTGGCTAATCCTACTAAAATCAGAACTACGCGAATGTTCGCCGGGCGTTCGTGAACGAGCGTTACGTGTCGTTATTAATTAGTCGTGAACTTTCTTGCCAACGAAGAAGAAAAAAAAATTAAAAGACTCCTCACGCGTTGACGTGGCTTAACATCTCGCGAAGACTCCTGCAGACGGCGATTAATCAAATCATCAGCCAAGATGCTCTCTCTCAAGGTGCAGTTTCGACGTTTTGAAGACGAGCTCGCAGAAATTCGCGAGGGAGCTAGTTGATTAATAACGAAAAATCTGCTCCGGCGATGCTGCGCCCGCTCCATTAATTATCGGTCGCTGCGCGCGAAGTCAAAAATTACTCGTGTGCCGGCAGCGATTTTCGAGCGTCACCGTAATTAGAGATTGATCGTGGGGTCTCGCGAGGATCGCTGGTGTATGCGAAACTACCGGTTCGGCGTCGCCTGTTTATTTGATTTGGCGTTGAGAGGCTGGCGCGCGCTTACGATTTATCGGGTTTTTAATTGTTAAATTGATGCTGAGCTTCGCCAGTGCATTCACGCACAGCCCCCCTGTATCCGCGCCAACGATTGCTGTGCTGAAGGGTAAATCGAATTTGTGTGAAAAAATGGAAATGTTGGGTTAATTTATGTATGTTCGAAGGGACCGTACCGCTTGGCTATCGCGATCGAACGCTGTTATCGAGCGATCGTGAATTTCCATCCACCGTAATCGCAGACTCGAATGACCGTGGACGCGAGTTTCGGTGAAGCCGTGACAAATTGAAAGCGCAGCCCCGAGACTCTTGAGAAAATACGAGTCTTTTCACTTTCCTTGCAAAGTGTGACGGGAAAAGTAAGTTTAGAGTGTCGTTTAAACGAGAGCAGCCTGTGCACAGGTTCGTCGAGCACGGGGCAGTAAAACTGCCCAAGACGACTGGCCGAGTGTTGTAACCGAGAGCGAGCGATTACGGTAATCGACTCGAAGGAGGCGCGTAAAAAAAGGAAAACAAGACGAGACTTCAGTGGTTTATGGAGCATCCCTCGAAGCGCGAGATCGGCGGCTTATCTCCTCGTCTGTTTTCTTTGCGGGCTGCTGCGAGAGGTGACGAGAGTCCCGGTTCCGCCCAGATAAGTGCCGATCTTCTCTAAGTGTTTAACACTTTTAAAAGGCGGCCTTTGATCGGTCTCACCTTACACTCTGCTATTGTCGGAGTTATGCGTGCAATACGTGAATCCTGAGAGTCAAGACAAAGGTTTTTTTACGAGCTCGTAAGATGTCCCGGTTGGAGAACTTTACGCTCGAGTATAGTATATGATTTCGCGGCAACAGCGCTTTTCTACGGAAAACTGCATGTACTTGCATCCGTGTAATAATGTTTTTGAAAATCTTCAAAAAAATATGCGCACTCTACATTAGTTCTGTTGACGGCCAGGTTTAACAGTCGAGCTGTCTTTTATTCAGCGAATGGGACAATCGGTCGTCGCGTTGCTGTGCGGGACAAAGGCAGAGAGAGAGAGAAATGAAGTCAAGAGTAGAGCCTGGGTAGAGCAGTTTTGCTTGGTTGCGCGACGTGTCTTTTTGATCGGTCGGGCTTGCGCAATGCGAATGTAAGAGAGGGAGAGAGAGAGAGAGAGCGCGCGAGAGAGCGCGAGAGAGCGCGCGGAGAAGAGAGCAACCACTCGGTGCGGGCGAGCGTCAAGTTGCGTCGAGACAAAGGGAATCGCTGAATGCCCTTTTTTCCTGCATTTTCTTTCAATTATTCGCCCGCGAGTTACAGCACGATCTCCCCTTGGCCCTCGAGTGGCCTCGTCTTTCCTCCCCGTCGACTCCGGGGGTTGAGCTGTCACTCGCCCGCGAGACTCGCTCTCGTCTTCTTATTCCGTTTGCAGAGACGGGACGTAGCTAGCCTTCGACAAAAGGCAAAATGACGCGCGCGAGCTCCTTGTCTCGCTGGTTTCATTTGGAGGGTACACGACACGCCGGCGCGCCGCCGGGTTATAAGCGCGACGTATAAACTTGTCGCGCAGGGCCCATAATGAGCTCAAGAATTGGCTGTATACCTCGGCGCGTTATGCCTGCAAAAGGAATCCTTCTGGCGCTTCTTGTCATTTTAATTGGACCAGGCTGCGCCGGCGCAGGCTTGTTTATTTGGCGCTTTCATTAAAAGCCTAGAGGCAACGACTCGTCGTCGTCGTCGTCGTCAACTCGATTGAGCCCCGTTACCTATTTACAGCGCGATTCGCGAGCGGAGGAGCGGAATTATTAAGGAAAGCGCGACTGGCAAAGGGACTTTGCGATCGGCAGTCGCGAGCGCGTCTTTTCGGCGCCCGGCCCGACTGGGCACGGCTGCGTCAAAGGGCGCGGGCAAGCTGCGCGTCACCGACTAAAATGACCTGTTTGCTATCGTGTTTCAGCGTGCAACTGCAACCAGCACACGCGCAAGTGCATGTTCAACATGGAGCTGTACAAGCTGTCGGGACGCGTGAGCGGGGGCGTCTGCCTGCAGTGCAGGCACTTCACGGCCGGCAGGCACTGCCACTACTGCATGGAGGGCTACTACAGGGATCCCGCCCGACCCATCACTCACCGCAAGGCCTGCATACGTGAGTACAGCTTGTAGTCTCGCCTTAGCGCGCGCACCTTCCTTCCAGTCTCCGTTGTGCGATGTGCGCCGACCATTTCATTCTTTGAACGCGTCGACGCTGTTCCAGCTTGATTTGCGTTCCGCAGCTTCCGCGATCCGGGCTTCGTATCTTCGGTGCCTTTTTTCAATCCGCTCGGGCTTGCGTGTCAATTAGACGAAAGGATCAAAGAAAAAGACCATCGCAAATTAGTCATCTGAAAATTCACGTTTTTCTATCATCGCGCAGCTCGATACCGGCAACTCCATCCTATTTTACGACGTTTCGCCATGTCTGTACTTTGCACGCAAACACTCGTACGATACGGCACGAGGCGCTCGTAACTTTTTATGTTATGTGCGATGACAAAGACGAGCCTCGTAACACTGACCGTCGGGACGTGAGCTCGATAACTCGCAAACTCATCGAGAATGCATTGAATAACGCACGACGCAGTTTCGATGATATCTTCACCCGCCTCGCCAACGTACAAAAGCCAATGCGTAAACTAGGCTCAGGCCAGTTTTTTATTCCATCTCGCTGGCAGCTCTGGATGCTCGATGCTTCTTAAAAAATGGTCGAAACGAGCAAATCTTTACGTACGCGACACGAAGCTTTCAGTTCGACAATCGCAGACTCCTGTTAACGATGCCACTTTAGGGTTGAAGTGGTACACATTTATAGGATTTTACGGTTTTATACGGTTCTCTCCCTGGACGCTCCAATACGTATTACAAAAATGGTAAAACGGAGTAACGCCCAATTGGAACACAATAAATGTTTTATTATTCTAGCGCTTCGGACTGGTCGATCAGTTTCTTTTCAGATTAATGCATTCACTATGGAGAACACAGAGTGAATAGCCAAGATCTTTGGAAAACACAGAGTTCAAAATTGGAAATCATCACTTTGTGTTCTCCACAATTGATGCGTTGCTTTGAAGAAGGACTGATTGACCAGTTCGAAGCATTGGTATGATAAACTATTTCTTGTGCTCTAATTGGGCGTTATTTTATTACCATCTTTCATAGCATTTTATCAACCTCAATCTTGCAGTATATATATCAGAGTCAATTTGTAAAATTACCTGTTTAATTGTTAATAAGATGATCAATTAGTGCACATAGTCAACATTCCTTTCATCCTCAAACAATGCACATTATACATTTCAGTTACTACGATAAGATAAGCATTCGTAGTTTGTTTAGTATAGCAATAATTAAATAGTACAGCATCAGATACTTATGCACGTTGAATTACGCTTGTATATTATAGCGCTCGTGAAGATGTGCACGAGTGCCCGATGTGTGATATTTAGAGGACTTGAAGTAAGCCAACCTAATTGTGACTCATAACTTGAAAATGTCAACCATTTCTCAAATATTTTAAGATATTATGAGATTTACAGTAGAAATTAGTTTTTTAATAGAAAACGGCAAACCCGGATTTTTGTACTTGATACAATTAAAAAATAATCTAATCAGACAAACAATCAAGCGGACCGAGAAAACATTTTTAAGAAATTCAGTTTTACTATTTTAGAAATAAATCAGAAGAAAAATTTCCAGTGATACTGCTTGACGAAAATCACTTCGATCAGTCATATTTTAATACCTGTCGTATACCGTTTGAAAATTTATATGAAAATTTTTATCGTTGCTTTGTTCATCACCAGATAAATCGCAGGATTTTTTTAACACTATAGAAACACATAAAATCATATTTCAATGAACGAGTCCCGTACAGACTTGAAGGAATTTTGTATCAATTGTATCTTATAAAAGATATATAAGAAAATATTGATTTGAGAAATAATGTAAAAAAGAAGAATTAAAAATTATTGAAAGTATTAAATGCAAAATAGATACAAAATTGTTGAAATGCCAAAGACAAAAGATACGATTGTGATTGATGCAATTATTTATTTGAAAAAAAGTGAAAATTAGAAGAGCACTTTTATACTAAACTCGAAAATTTTTGGCGCATGTAAAAAAAGTTATAAAAAACTGTAGAAATAGTACATTTCGGTAATAATGCTAGTGAAAATGATTTGAGCCTCGTGTGGATGTTTTTCATAGAAATCATAAGAAATCAATGGAGCCTTTAAATAAATCTTTTTATTTACTCAGATGTTCAGAATAGCACATACCATCAATTTTTCTCAAGAAATTAGATATAGCAACATAACTTTGTGGGATGTGAAATTGAAATTTGTAAAGATGAAAATTCAAGTTCACTCCAAGAATTTTCTAGAAGAATAAAGTTTTATGATGGTGACTATTAGAATGATCTTGGCACTGTAATAAAGAAAACTTAAATTTATGACTGACCTTCTTAATGCACAGGCTTGCAACTCAACCCTTTTTTATATTCGTACCGTACGTGGATTTATTAGATTAATAAACATATTTCAAAGATAAAAAAGACATTAGCTTATGAAATAAACTAAATTTAAAAAAATTGTAGTGTTTACGTCTTTAACTTATTTCATTTTAGTATCTATGTGAATTATGATAAAAAAACATACCAGTAAAACACTATCAAAAACTATTATCAATTTATCATCGAGCACATTAAAATCTATTGTTTATACTGAATGTTTTTAAACATACATAAGCATGTATTTTGTGAAAAAATTTATTCAATTTTGAATGAATTTATTCCATTTTCTGCAATCCATTAATATCGTTACTACAAAATTGTATGTTGTATAAATACTTCATGCAAATTATTAAATATCTTTTAAGACTAGTTTATTTTTCCGAAACGCCAAAACTGAGAATTTCTCTTATGACCAAAATAATGAAATCATTATAACGAATGGCAATATCGGTAATCGCTCTAGATTATTAAAGATTGTTAAAGTAAAATTGTCTGAAATGGTCAAGGCTATCAGACTTATCACGAAAAGTCTAGACACAATCTTAATTATTTCTCAAATAGTGAAAAAATGTCTTTCTTGGCACATCCGGCATTAGAACTTAATATTCATATAAGATTCATCATATCGTATAGCGAGTTATTATACAAAAGTATAAGCAAGCTCTCTTTAATTTTTCAATCAATAAATTTAGTTTCAAGTGTAACAAGCCAAATAATTCGCACAGTATAATTTAATAAATGATAATGAAAAGAAACGATAAGATAATTCAATTGTTGAGGACTGGACGAAGTAAAGATATCCAGTGAGTAAGACATCATTAGTCTTTGACTTGGGCATATCGCCAATTTGAGCTAATGTACGCGTGGTTACATCAGAGATGAATATAGTATTGTGAAATCCGTTTAAATATTGTATTAGATGATTTGATCAAACGAAGTGATTATTATAAATTATAATTGCTGAAAAGACACCATACCTTCACAATTTTAACAATTTATTGATAATGAGTAAATACAAGTGAGCACAAGGATATAGTGCAGTAATTTAATATAAATTAAGAGGCTATAGTCCACTCAGCACGAGCGCGAAAGTGGTTAGTCGATCCTTCTTCGAATATTTTAAAAATATGATTGTATAATAATTGATTCAAGTGTCTTTTATTTTGTACAGTTAAGTAACTCCGCATTTAAAATGTCGTATCTATTAATGCCAGCGATCATCGATAAACATTTTCAAGGCAGATCGAAAGCAGCAAAGCAACTTAAGAAAAAATTGAATGGTTCAAAAAGTGATCTAGACAGAAAAGAAATTCTGAAACAATTACGAGCGATTTATAATAACAAATCAGATAATGAATTTATAGATATATTATTTCAAGACATGAATTGGAACAAATCTACTTTTTGTGATAGTTGTTTTAAATCATTCAATACGTACTATAAAACGGCGGAGCATAAGATAGTTCATCATAAAATGAACTTTAAACGTAAGATGATTCGAAACCATTCTTATCAGGGTATTCAACGTTTATTTTTATATATTTACAATAATTTTTCAGTAATTGATTCAAATACCAAATCAACCAGACAATTAACAGCGAAATGCTCGTTCAATACAACGACTCGGCTATCGGAAAACAAAGTGACAAAGAATCGTAGTCATAAAAATGAAATGAACAAAAAATATTCCAATATGGTGAAAATATTTGATAACTTGATTATCAATCATTTTCTTTACTCTAATGAAGTATATCAGTGTAAACACTGCAAAAAACATTTAAAATCAAAGTATAATTTACGAAATCACTTATTTAGTCAACATAAGATATTTTTGAGTAAGTTCAATAGACTTACTACATGATATAAGTTATTAAAGAAATTAACTAAATAACGCTGTATATGTTGAAGTGAATGACTTGCAGATGTCGAAGGATGTAAAAATTAATACCAAAGTTAAACATTCTAGTCCAGCACCAAATAGTTCATTCGCAAATATTACAGAATTTAATAAGAACAATGCTATTATAGAACAAGCAACAGGTACCACTGATTTTAAATGCCTTTCGCTTGACATCGAAAATAGGTTATTTAAAAATTTCTATATATTTTAGATACCCGTAGAAAAAGACAAGCCGTGAAAAGACATCGTAATACTACTGAACATACCAATCGTAATTATTGCAAGAAGAAAGCAACAAGTTCACAAGAAACTTTTACATTTAATGAAATAACTTCATTTGCTCAAATTCAAGAGATAATCAACAAGTATTTACATAATTTTCCATAAAATTAATGCCCGTACTTTATGCAAAATTATAATTAACGTCAATATGTTGAATGCGGGAAAGTAGGCTGGAAAGGCACACAACACGAGAATTTCATTCTCAAATATGTTAGGAGCAGTGCACTTAAATTCGCGTTTTCGCCACACATACAAATTCTAGAAAGGGATTCTCGTCAGGTGTGGCTTTCCAGTCTCGCATCGTTTGCTCATGCATTAAATTAGTCGTAGCGAAAAAGGCCTTTCTAACGTTTCAAATAGATTCATTTTTCATGATTCGGTTTGTAGGTTATTGCAAATATTATAAGTATAGGAATTT